TTATATCAAAATTAATTTTACATTTAAAATATCACATCGTTATCTATTTATATTCCATCAAGATTATTTTAATTTAAAATTTTACAACAAACCCTCCAAATTTGCTTTTCTTAACTTAATCAAACCCCAATTTATTTTATTTTATTTTTTATTGGGTTTCCATTCCCCAATTTATATACCCACCCACCCACTCACCACCCCCTCCCTTCTCTCTCTATAAAATTTATAAGTTACAATGTACAATATATTACCCAAAGCCATGCAATTTTCTTATGGCTTGAAGTAAATCTAATCAATGATCAAAGGTAACAAAAAATGATTGATGATTAATATAATAATATTATATGATGATATCTAAAGTCTAAACCTAACAAAAAGTAGAGTTAATTTTATTTGAACAAAGAGGTTCAATTCTTTATTTTGAAGAATAAGGATTGTTATTTTTGTGTTTTTTATTTTGATTTCTAATTTTAATAGATATTGATGTTTTGCGAGGGACAATGAGTGTGTTTGTTTAATATTTTAAGTTGATGTTGTTGGGAAGTAATTTATCGAACAAAGCACTTTTGAACATTTCGATAAGGGCCAACTCCTGAAACGTGATTGGTTCACAGTTTAAACAACATCTTAACAACAAATAACAAAGTAGAACTCAAAACAACAAATGAGACAATGTATTTATTGACCCGGTTTAATTATGAATTAACCTACATTCGAGGATACCAATTCAGGAGAGATCCACTAATCAATACTGATTATAGAACATAAATAATCACAAATTAACCTAGAAAAATACCTCTTCAGATTCACGTTGCCACAAACTCGTATTGAAAACCACCGTATAACATAATAGCTCAGAGACTCATCATCCTCTCAAGTTGGAACTCGTTTATCTCCGATTACCGTCGACTTCTCCGAGGATTTTAGTGTTAAATAACAATTCAAAACATAAAGAAAAGAGGAGTGAAATTATTGTGTGTGCTTTCACTCTTAAATATAAATGGCATGGGGTATCCTTCAATGAATACGCACGTTTTGACCAGCCTCAAAATATCATCTCTGTCTCTTATAAGCATTTAATGAATTGGACACATTGAATAAAGACAAACCCGTAAAGCTGATTGCTGCACGATTGCAGTAACTGACTCTATGCAACCTTTGTATGTTAGAAATAGAATAACTTGTTATAACATTAAGAAAACATATTTGTCTATATGTCAAAAATAAATTTAGAGGTATTTTATTTACAGATGTATTTATTTATTTTTAATATTAGATATACATAGGAAAGAATATGATCATAATTTAAAATATAGTATTTTATTTTGAATTAATAGTTTTTTATTACCGGAAAGTATATATTTTGTGTGCATATCTTTATATATATATATATTTTTATTAATATTAATTAGGAAGTGTTTTATTTTTTTATATCAACCTGTAAGAATTAATACTAAAAAAATAATAAAAAAACAAAAGTCATAAAGAACATTATCTAAAAATCTAATTTCATCTCCTAGAATCAAACCGGGTCGGGTCATAACCAGCTTGGGAAATACCTTATCATCACTTGATCTCTAAGGATTTGATTTATTAAATATTTAGTTAGTACTATATATTAAAGCAATTAAATTCTTTTACTTTTTATCTATATAATTGTTCTCTACAAATATATATATATATATATATATATATATATATAAGAAATTGTAAGCTTACATGATAAAAAAGTTGAAAAGTAGTAACTAAGTAAACAAAGTCTTAAGATCTATTTGGTTATTAATTGAAATTGTGGTTGGAATTTGAAAAAATTTATTTAAGTGATATATTTTTATGATAATATATAATCAAAATAAATTTAAAAGATATATTTAAGTGTTATAAAAATACTTACAATAGAATATATAAAAAATATTATAATAAAATTTTATATAATATAGATATATAAAAAAATAATTTTATAAAAAAACAATAATTTTAAATATATAAAAATATACTCCCTCCATTCCAAACAAGGTGCAACATTTGCTTTTGGCACGGGTTTTTAGGTAGGTAGTATTAAGTAGGATAATTTAAAAATGATGTGATGTGATGTGATGGAGAGAGAAATATATATTTTATTATTTTATTTGGATGGTGTGAGGGGATAAAGTGTGTGGTTGAGATTATGTATAATTAATTATTTTCTATTTTGCAAATGTTGCATGGTGTTTGGGATATACCAAAAAGGAAATGTTGCAGAGTGTTAGGGACGGAGGAAATATTTGTTTATATATATATATCAGATTGAAATTGAAATTTTTTTAGTAACTTTCATTTTAAGGAAATTTTTGGGAAAATTTTTTTTTAAGTATAGTATCAGAATTGAGATGATAGCCAATCACATACTCCTTTGAAGTATTTAAAAAGAAAGATTTTATAAGATTTTAGGATCAAGAAAACAATCAGTTGAATTTTATGGTTGAAAAATATTTTTCAAAAAGGTCAAGTTTTAAAAGAGAGAAATATGTATAAATGTAGTATATTTATTTATAGTGCTTGAAATATTTGTGTAAAGTTTTCTTCGACTTCTTAGTTTTGTATAATTCTACAAAAAGTTTGTCATATACTCTCAACCAAATTGTCTCGATCGAACTATATGTATAAAGGCATAATAATAATTGATCGACGGAAATCCCCTCATTGTCCATAGCATTTTGTGATTACTTTGGAGCCTCGACATAAATTATCCCGTCGTCAAACTATTACTTAAAGAATATTTGTGTCTAATACAAACGGTTTATTTGAGTTTGAATTTTTATTTAAATACTCCCTCCGTCCCAGATACCGTGTCTGCTACAATGTACACACGGTAGGGGGTGTAATTAGTAAATAATTAAGAATGTATTAGTGAAAATAATTATTCTATAATATAAATAATTATAAATTAAAATTAAGATAACTAATTAATTTAACGGACAAAAATGACAACTTAGATATAGTATCTGGAACGGAGGGAGTAGTATTTTATATGAAAAAAAATATTCTATGTAAATAAACATAAAATAGTTTTTTATAACTAACTCTCCGACAATGGAAAATCGCAATTGATTGACAGATGTTTGTTCGTGGAATTTTGGAAATGAGGTGGCTGGTCGACATGACTGATTTTTTATTTTTAAATATATATATATTTATTTATCTGTGTGTGGGTCATGTGTTCATAGTCGTTGGAGGATTAAAATATTAAGGATAAATTAGATGCAAATTTTTATTCAGACTCTAGAGTTTTGAATTTTTTTTTTTAAAAAAAATTTAAAATAATAAAGATTGAATATTTAGTATAATTTTTTTTTGTGTGAAAAAAAAAAATTTGATTTATATATTTTCTTGAATAATAATTTAAATATAATATTTTGTAAAAAATAATATATTATCTATTGAAAATCGTCAATTGCATAGTAAAAAAAAAAAACTAATTTTATTATTATTATTATTATAAGAGAAATAAAAACACAAACAAACAAGCAAGCACACCCAAATAAGTTTCACTTTAATAAAAAAATAATTATAATTTGATATTATATAGTGCAATGCTTTAGTATAAAGTGGTATCTTGACAGATCAATCACTGCCCTTACCTTTGTTAAAGCAGATCTTCTCTCCCATCCCACATATATATATATATAAATTAATAATTCCCTTATTATATCTTATTTTTCAAATTAATCATATAATAGCCACATCATAATAATAAATTAGTATTAATCACCACATCACTTTAATTAAATAATAATAATAATAATAAATACCATCATGCATTTTTTAACAAGCAAAATTCATCCATGGTTTGTAATTTTCTATTGATAAAAATACGTTCTCTTGGACCATCTCCAATCCATCAACTCTGTTTATCCAATTTTAACTTCAAATATGCAGTTGCTATAGTAATTTTATTTAAATTATAACTTCATTTTTCACTATTATTCTTTAAATATTCAATTTTTCCTATTATTTTAAACAACTTTTTATTTTTATAATATAAAATAAAAAATTTTAAAAATAAAAATTAAATTTATAATTTTTTAAATTAAAAACAATAAAACAACGCCAATTTTTGGCATTGAATTTGGCGTTGATTGAAAATAACCCACGCCAAAAAAGCCAACCCAGCAGGTTGGAGATGCACTTATAATTTTGATTTTAATTTTTGTTTTCACTATCCTGTATTTTAGTGTTTATAATTTTAGATATTCTGAAACATAAAAAATGGTAAAAATACTATAAAAATAATATTTTATATATTTACGTCGCCTTTTACATTCATATTATATTTTTTTAAGTAATATCATTAGAGAAGTGTGTCACTTGAAAACACCAAAATTTATTAAAATTTCACATTTAATACTCTTATATGATATACAAAATATCATAAAATCACTATTTTACTTTAAAAAATTTCAAATGAATACCACAAAATAATACACCCTAGGATATTTATAATTCTAGTATCAAAATATAAAGAAAAAATAAAAATAAAAATCTATTTTGTCTCTCATTTGAATATTGGAAATTACTCATAGATCGAATTAGTGTGATGTCGTTCTTTAAGTCCTACAACATGCATGTTTGTCACATAACTCATTAGCTTATAAATTTATCTATTTTATTTTTTTTAATATTTTGGTTTTACTAATTTCTACAAGAATAATTTTATAATTGTATTTAAAAAGGTTTAAGATTTTTGTTTTTTAAATTTTAACACGTTCTAAATTATATATATTTAGTGTTATGGAGTTAGAATAGTAATGTTAAACTCACAATGAGATAAATTTTTCAATAAAATTCAAATGTAAATAACATAAATGATAAATACCAATATTACTATGGATTGTATTTAAATTATTATTATTTAAATATTATTACACAGCAAGAACCTCTATACATGTGTATATACATATCATTCATACTTTATATTCACTTCTGCTGTGGTATTTTTCTACATACACTAAAAAAAAAAAAAAAAAAAGAAAAGTTGAAATTTCACAAAATGAAGAAGCCAGCCAATTTACATTAATAAGACAAGTAAAGGCCAGCAAAACATTAAAAATATCATTACAAGGCAAATTTTATTAATGCCCTAAATTATTTATATATATATATATATATAAAATGAGAAATTAAAATCCATTAATTAATTAATTAATTTATTTATGGTAACCCAAATAAGCCACAGCATTTTGCCTCTTGAGCTCACTGTAAAACTTCGTTATAAACTCCTCCGCTGCCTTGTCCACGTGGCTGTCCACGTCAGCATCGGCTAACGGGAACGGCGAGTCGGTTATCCTCAGCTGCCTCACGGCTGGGCTCGGCTTGATAAACCCTGGCAGAGCCGGCGAAGCCGCCGCGCTGGCGAAAACCTCCAGCGCCGCCGCCAGGAGCTCGGGGTCGAGCGGCGCCGGCGACGGCGGGGAGTGGTAGTGGTGCTTGCGCTTGTGGAAGGTAGGGAAGTGGAAGGCCGGGCTGTTGCTGCAGCTGAATTCGTATTCTCCGTCGGCCGGCGCGGAGAAGCGGCGCGCGGCGGCGGCGGCGTGGTGGTGGTGGAACATGAGGTTGTATATGGCGGATTTTCCGGCGATTTTGCCGCGCTTCATCATCATGTTGAGGTCGGAGAAGAGCTTGGCTTTGGAGATGCCTTTTCGGAGCATGAAATACATCACCCGCACAACGTTCCAGAATTTCTTCGCTATGATTTGCATATTCTGCTCCATTTTTTAAATTTGATTTTGATTTTGATTTAGTTGCAGAGATTGGATGAAGAAGAAGATGTAGATGGAGAAGATGATTGATAACTTATGAGACGTAAAATGGAGGAAGGTGAGAAGCTTTATTTAAAGACGGGTTTTGCGGCAGTGCTAATGTCACCCGCGGGTGATGGTGCGTGGATCACCCTTGCAGCTATTTTTTATGTTATTATTATTATTATTACTTTTTTGGAGAACATAGAAATGGGCTTTATTGGGCTGCGTTGTACATTTGGCAATAAATAAAAATTGTAAAAATTGTAGTATTTCTATTTTAGTTTGTTTTTTTTTTTTTTATGTTTGCATGATGTTTTGATTTGATGTTTTATTGCATAAAATAATATTCTCTCCGTCCAGCCGCAAGAGAGACTTATTTTTATTTTTTTTGTCAGCCCATATAAAATAATTTATTTTTATTTTTAATAAATTTATTTATTTAAATATATTTAACAAATATAAATAAATTAAATTAAAATTTTAATTTATTACATATTCAAAACCTTTTATTTTTATCTATATATAAAATTTTTCATTTTTTATAAAATTAGTATTAAATTAATTATAAATGTATATATATATATATATTTATTTGTATTATATATAAAATGATATCTACATTGCATCTATTTTATTGAGATATAATTCTAAACATATTTAAAATACCAACAACACTACTTATATAAAAAATAATAAAATAATATCATAACTTATTATTAATAACTTAATAATCTACTTTACCTAAAACATCGTGTCCTTAGCAAAATGACTCATCTTTGCCGGAAATGAGAGAGTATAGAGTTTTTTTTTTGTCAAATCACTAATTTGATTTGTTATTAGAGTCATGCTAAAAGTGTTGAGACGATAGAATTTGAATTCGAGATATTTGGTTCTGATATTATGTTAGGTGATATAACTGATCGTCTCATTTAAAATCTTAAATTTGAAGATAAGACGGTCGTGCACATTATCTAACATATTACATTATCTAACATATTATTTGTAATTATTTGATTTGTTATTAGTATCATGCTAAAAGTGTTGTATCATCACACAACGCAATATAGCTAATATGTAATGAATTTATATGTTAATTACAAGGCATGAATTGATATGCCATTTCTTAGATAATTTTCCAAAATTTTGATGGGTTGACATCCAATAATTATTATTATTATAAACACAAAATTCATTTTTTTCTTTATTTATACAAATTATTCTGTCAATACTTTTCTTTCATATTTTATAAAAAATGGTGTTATCCCTACCCATGGAATCCCTAAATCTATTCTCTATACTTTGAAGTCATTTTGGATTTTATAATTACATCAAGACATTCAAAACTTTTTTACCTCCATTTTAAATTATGATATATGTATTTTTTTTTTTTTTTGGGAAACTAGAGTAATATAAAATTTTATTTTATTTGAAACATCACACCCAATATCTATTTTTTTTTTTGTTAGATATATCAAATTTAAAATTATTTTAATAGTAGTAAGAATTTTGGAGATGTTTGAATGAAGAATCCCGAGGGCAAAAAATTTCATGTAGTTGTTAATTGGTCCAAAAGTCATTCCTTAGCATTGGAGGTTTCGTTTCTTACTCATTTTTTTTTTTTACTTATTTATTGTTACCAAATATCTGTCTATACACACACATGTTTAAATTATAATTATGGTTTGATTAATTATTAGACTCACAATCACATTAACTTTAACTATGGTTTGATTTAATAATAAATGTTTATATAAAAAAAAAAAAGTGAAAAAAATAACGGGTTTCTTAAGTATTATTATTATTGTATCAAATTATTGTTCATGTAATTATTACTCTCTCCGTCCCACATAATTTGTCCCTATTTTTTATTTTCGTCCGTCCCACATAACTTTTCATTTCTATTTTTGGAAATATAATTATGCACTTTAATCACATTTTAAATTTTAAATTTCATAATTTTCTTAATTTTAATTAAACTATTTACTTATCTTAATCTTAATCTATAATTATTTTTAGTAATACACTTCTTAATTACTTACTAATTATACTTTACCTAAATTCCCGTGTCTACAATAATACACCCATATTACATGGGACGGAGGGAGTACTAATTTAATTAATTACTTATATATTGACATTATTATTTTTTTTAACAAAAGAAACTTTTCTTTAATTAGAGGAACTTCCTCTTACCTTCCAACACTAAAAGTATCATAAACTAATTAATGGTATATGAATGAATCAATGAAACACTTTCTCCTATATAATTGTTATTTTATTTTTTTAAATTTTTTTTATATTCAAACATCACATTTAACAGCTAGTTATATAACTTCAAACACCTAATTTCTACTAAATATGTTACTATTTCTAAAACAATAAAAATTTACAAAATACTTTCGAAACATATATATATCTGGCTACCCCAAATTTATACATTTCTTATGGATGGACCATTATATTGAATTAATTAAAAATAACACATGGCATTATTAAGATCTAAAAATCTCTTTACAAATAAATGCAATACAGCTGTTGTTAACAACAACATGATTATTGCATGTAATAAGGCTGTTAAAGTTAAGTATGCATTTCATTAATCCCAATTAATTAAATTATAAACCCTACTTATTAATACTACTAATAATAATAATCACTTTTCTCTTCTTTCTCATCACTTTTCACAACCACTAAATACCTTTTTTACTAAATTAAGCTCTACTATGGTCCAAACGATGCCATTATTTTTAAGCACATTGTTTCGATTCATCCACGGGATTTATATATCGGGCGTTCTTGGATTTTTATTTTTATTTTAAATTATGTTTAAATAGTGTTGGATGTTTGATAATTGTACATTAAAGAGAAAAACCAAATCGAAGAGAACAAACCCTTAATTTATTTATTTTTTATTGTTGCAAATTATTAACAAAATTTAATTAATGGGATCCAATATTCAGACAATACTAATTTTATATCTTCATTACCATTATGCAATAATCTTAATTTATATTTAGTAATAATTGGCATGCAATAATGATACCACATACATATATATATAATTGGCAATATATAGAAATATCAGCAACAATGCCAAACTTTTTTTTTTTTTTTTTAATTATTATTATTATTGATCTTAATATGGAAAAGTGTACATTCACCTTTAATTTATTATTCCAAATTTAAGAAATAGATGAATAAATAGATAGAAAAGTAGAATGTATTTAGGGAAACTTGTCTAAATCATCCGTGGAACCATGATGTACGAAACTTGTACTTTTCTATACACTATGATTTGTTATAATTATATATGTATATATATATATAATATATTAATAATTGAGAAAATTGATTAATTTTAAATTGTATCATTTATGCAATGTTATCTACAACTAAATTGAAAACTTACGAATTATTATCATTCAACAATTAATGATGTATTCATTTGTATTTCGAACTTCTTTTTCGTAAATATATAAAATCTAAATGAAAAATCATTTTTTTTTTCACTTAAAAATATATCCTTTAAGTCAAAATTAACAATAAACACATTTAAAAAATGCTATCATTGCCCGCTAATTTCTTATACATATTACGTAAATATCTTAAAAACGCTATTACAAATATACACGATTTTAGTTTCCTCAAGCGGAAGTAAAACACGACTCTTCTAGAAACTCCAGTTTCCCTTCCGCGCCGGGTTTTGCAACGGCTAGCTGTCCAGCCTTTTATTATTTAAAAAAAAAAAGAAGAAAGAAAATCAAATTATTGCATGGGCCATAGGATGAGGGACACGTGTTCCCCAAGAGCCTTTCTAGCTAAGTAAGCCACCATTGGACAAACTCCCAACAAAATTATTATTTCACAAACCCACACTTGTCGTTTTTTAAATTTATTTAATTTTATATATGTTTTTCAAAAGAAAATTCAATTCTTATTTATATTTTATGGGTCCAATTTTAAAAGGGCAAAGGCACACACGCATTATTAACCAACAAGAATTGACTCATTCCTCAAACAAACATCAAACAAAAAACCCTCATAAAATTTGAACATATTTATATACATATATATGTATGAATGTGAGTCATCATCAAACCTAAACCACAAAAGCAAAAGTTGTAATGAAATTAGAAAACAAATGAAGTAAAGCAACAAGGCACTCTCAAAGTAAATAAAGTTGCAAAAGCTATGGAAAGTGACTAAGCCGGCTTGCTTCCTTCTTTGCTAATATATTTAGCCTTTTTAAAAGCATTTTCACAAATGCCCGCGTAGTCGATTTCTTACTCGGTTATTAATTTTGCACGCGCTATAAAATTTACTCGTGTAAAATATAAGTAATGCATAGTAAAAATACTACTCATCATGTCTAAGAAATATAAGTATATTTGCTATTTGCATGGTGAAATGAAAATTTTGGGCTCCCGTTTGGACATACCATTTTGGAGAGTTTGAATATTTGAAAGTTTGAAAAAAATAAAAAATTATATTGATATGATATTTTTTTTAAAAATAAATAATGTTAAAGGAGTGAAAGTTGATTATGCCAACAGAGTTTGATACTTTTATACGATGCGATATTTTATTAATATTGTACTATTCATACTTATCAAATAAGAAAATGTGCTTAGTGTTTGTGTAAATATTAAGTGGTAAAATACATCAATTGAATGAATAGTAAATAAGTAAAATCAAAATCATTGCTTCAAAGTGAGACCAATAATTTATTTATTTTTTTAATAATAAAAGAAGAGGGTTAGTCAAATCATGAAATTGAGTTGTCATTATTCAATTATCAATTATTGAGCCAACAACAAGATGTACTTCTTGTGAACCACAAAGTACAACCCTTTTGTGCATGTATTGTCCTCCTCTAGGGGTGGTGGGGTGTAAATCATATATACGCACATATATAAATACCCCTTGATTTGCCCACAAAATTTCATCAAACAAACCAACCCTTCTTCCAAAACCCACAACAAAAATGGATCAAAACATTAAAGTGGCCAAGAAATTTTGGAAGATGATCAAAGTGGTCTACTTCATGCTAAGAAAAGGCTTCTCCAAGGCCAAATTATTAGCCAATCTCAACACCATGCTCAAGCGCGGCAAGATCGCCGGAAAAGCCGCCATGCACCACCTCATCCACCACGACGGCGCCGCCTCCGGCGGCGGCGGCAGCCACCACCACCACGAGGTGGAACTCTCCTACCCGATGCCGTTAAACGAGTACGAATTTAGCTGCAGCAATACCCCCAAGTTCCACCTCCCCTTCCACCTCAACAAGCGTAGACGCGCCGCCGTCCGTACTCCGGTGCCGCCGTCCCCCGACGACGACGGCGACCTTTTCATGGAGGCCCTCGAGATGGTGAGCAGCCGGATGGCCTCCCCGGCGCTCCCCGGATTCGGACGGACGCCGATGGCGAGGCAGTTGAGGATAACGGACTCGCCGTTTCCTATTATGGACGAAGACGGCGGCGGCGGCGCCGCCGGCAGAGTCGATGAGGCGGCGGAGAAGTTTATATCGAAATTTTATAGGGAATTAAAGCAGCAGAAATGAAACAATTTAATTTCTTGAGATGTATATTTATGTGTGTGTATGCATTTTTCAATGTGTGGAAGGATATATACATGTATGTTCTTTATATTCAAGAAAATAAATAATTAAATATCGTAGACGAAGTTGTAATTTGTAGTATTGAAGTAGGTAAATTAAGCTTGGTAAATGTAATAGAAAAAAATATTTTTGCAATAGAAAATTTATTTTAGGTATTTTTTTAGAATTTGTTTTGTGGCATTAGAGGTTTAATAATACATTTTTATTTGCACACTTAGTATTGTAAAGAAGTTGAGTCTCAGCATCATGATTATATGTTTATCATATTCTACATTTAAATTTAGTTTTCCAATATATATTATTTGTATTAAATTAATTTATTTATAAATAGTAATATATTAATTAACAGCACGAAAATAATACATTTATGCATATATAATTAGCATAATAATAATATAGTGAAACTTGTATACGTATTATATATAAAATGATTCAGAATTCTGTATATCTGCAATATTTTAGTGTATTGCACATACATATATATCATATTATACACCACATGAACCTATATAATCATCTCAATTTTGGTTTGGAATTTAATCCAATATCTGAAATGTGATTCAACATTTGTGAATTTTTCAATTTTTTTCTTTTAACTGCTAATAAAAATATAGTCAATTTTCATGCAAAATATTATACACAATCACCATTTCACATAAAATAATAATAATAAAAACAATAAAAATCAAAACCTATATAAAAAAAAAAAAAAAAAAAAAAAAAAAAACCAAAATAGCATACCCAGAACTCACAAGTAAGCATATGTATCTATCTATATATATCATCCTAATTCATGGAAGAACGCATTTGGGCCAATTTGAAGGCCCAAAATCTAATTTAGGGCCCATTGGGCCAACGATGAAAATTTTGGGTGAGTACTAAAATATTCATTAACTATAAGTATTCATCACTTTATATATTATGGAGTTTGTTTTGAATTTGCGAAAATTGGGTATTTTATTTCAAATATTCAAAAGTTGAATATTGACGTGATATTTTTTTGATAAAAAATAAGTATTTAATATAATATTTTGAAAAATAATAATAATAATAATTATACATAACATGATGTTCGTTAGCATTTCCAGTACATTGAATATTATTGAACCATTAAATATTTTTTTCATGAAAATACATGGAACCCAATTAGTGGCACATGGCAAACGCGTGACACCTTGCACGTGCAAACACGTTGCTATTTAGCAATGAAACATGCAAATGCAATGCTCGCACACGTGTGGGGAAGCATCAAAGAAGCCCCTAATCAAATGAAAAATATTGTATATATAATTTTATGATTTAAAATAAAATAAATAAATAAAAAAGGGGGAGTGGGCAGAAAGTTGATAAATTGGATTCCAAAATCCAGCTATTGAAATTTGACTACAGGTAGGTTTGGACTTTTAGAAGCAAGCCCAATTCAAGAATCACGTACAACTATTCAAGCGTCAGGTACTAGACCGCAATGCACAGTCAGATATTTATTTATTTATTTATAATACATACTCCTTGCTTGTGAAGAATTGGATATTTATTACAGCTTTGGTCACATGATGGCTGACAATACCTTCCCTCTTTGTCACGTGCTTAGTCGGACACCACGAACTAAAATATGTACATGCCTGTGTTTACTTGTGCCCTGTTTCCTCTCTTTTCTGTTTTTTCTTTTAAATAAAATGATTATTAAATGTGATTTTTTAAATATAATTTTTAATTTTCTAAAACAATATTGATTAAAATTTTAATTTTTATGTAAAACACAATATTCAATAGTGATGCCATTTAGGAAAAATTAAATATCAAACCACTAATGTGTTTTGTGTTTGTATTGTGTTTTGTGGTTGAACGTGTTTTAATATTTTATCCGTCCCAACTCAAAATACTCCGTTTAGCATTATTGTCCTCTTACTTTAAAATATTTATTTTCTATTTCAATAAAGGTAATCATACAAAAATATCAAATTATTATTAACTTTTACTTATATAAAGATATCATTACAAATATAATTACTTTTTACATCAAATTAAAGGGTAAAAATATCAAAACTTCGTACACTTTCGCTAGCTTATAAAATACTATTATTTCTTACTTTTCTATAAAATTCCAAAAGGCCCATTTAGACCGAGACAGAGGAAGTATAATATTTATGAATCGAAATAACATATATTTTTTATAAAATACAACAATCGAACAAAAGAAAAGTTTTAACGAAGCAAAATGTGGGTTTGGTTAGTATTAATCATTTATATTGAGATAATAGTTTGATAAGATATTTTTGTAAGGTAAAAATAACTTATATTTATAAAAATTGTGAATAATGCATAATAAATAAATATCTCAAAAAGAAGAGTCAAACATAAAAAATAAAAAAAATAAAAAAACATATTAATATTTTAGAAACTACTACAACAATGTTTTTAACTTACGATTTTATTTATTATTTTGAATATATAATTTAAGTAATATTTTTCTAAAATATTCTAAATAAAAGCATATGTGGACAAAATCAACAAGAATAATCGAAAATTTACCCATAAAAAAATTGTATTATAATAAAAATAACAAGAGCTATAGAAGAACCAAAAATGAATTTGATCTTTTAATAAATAATTATCAATATTCACTTTTTATTAAATTGGAATTTGAGAGGTTTAAATGGAAAAGATCTATAACATTGCTCACCTCTTTTTCACTTTATTTAATTTTGGGTCAAAATTATGAGTGCTAAAGCATTTTGCAAATAAAGTAAAAATAAAATACTAATTATCATACTTGTAAAATAAAAATTTTAATTTTAGATTAAAAAGGGATGCAGCGACAAGCTGACACGTGGAATAATCATGACCGTCGATACGAACGAGTCCTAGCTGTAACCATCGTGCTCAAACGTGGGTTAAGGAATATAATAACATGTGTTATACTACGTAAGAAAAGTACTAATAATGCAATAAACAAATACGCAAAAAAAAAAAAAAAAAGAAAAGGAAAATCGAAAAAATAAATAAATTATTATTTTAATTATGTAAAACACTATTTCCAAGAAAAATAATTAGAGAGAGAAAGAAAGATTGTGTGTAAAAATTGGACAGTAATGGTCGACAAAACCTGGCAGTTAGAGTTATTAATTATTTAATTTATTGTTAATTATCTATTAATCCGCAGCGCTAATTTCTGCTTATCTAATTGATGACAAATGAATTTACTACTCTACCCTTTCCAGAATGCTTTGTTACAATAATTACAATCACGTGGTCACTGTATGTAAGAAGTGCGTTTTTTGTTTTATTTTTGCATTAGAATAATCCATATTAAAATACTCTATTTTTTATCTTAAAATATATTAAAATGTAGGTATATATATTTTATATTTAATACACATATTGTGTATAATGTAAAAGTTACCTAAAGAATATATATTAAAATTAGTATTTTACTACTTTTAAAATAAAATGTTTTATACTATTATGAAATATATATATATATATTATATATGGACATATTAAATATAATAAAATATCTATTATTAAAAAAGATTGATATTAATTATTAATATTGACATTTTATTCACAATACCAAACATATATACTGAAAAACACATCCAAACATATGATAAGTTTTTGTAATAAATTCGGCCTATCAGTACAACATTAAATTTACTTCCTCCATCTCACTTAACATTATCATATTGTCGATTATGTCCGTCTCATATTTTATATCACTTTCTTTTTCTGAAAATATTATCCATCTTAATTTTATTTTAAATTTTAATTAAACTAATTATTTATCTTAATTTTAATATATAATGAGTTATATTATAAATTAATTATTTTTACTAATATATTTTTAATTATCTAATAATTATATTTATATTAAATTATTGTGTCTACAGTGATCAAGACACTCAATATGGGATGAATGAAGTATATTTTATATAAAAAGAATAAAATTAATTATGAAATTCTGAAAATGAGAATCCCGATACTGAGGCTTTTTTCAATAATATTTCTAAATAAAGAAAATTTAAAATATTATTGGACTGTTGTGACACAGAGCAAAGTCAGTGGCTTTTCATGTGAAGCTTAATTTTTTTTGAGCAAAAAACAAAATAAAAAATAAATATTATGCATTCTTGCTTGTTTTTATTAGGTATTCTTCTTTTAATATTCTTTTTTGTTATGTAACTTGTAAACTCCTATCATACTTACAACATCAGTGAAATTTTAGTTTTAGTAGAAATATTTATTTTTATGAAAACAAAAATTTTTAATTAAAATTCAATAATGTGGTAATTTATTTATATTTTAGTATTTTTTTGAAAATAAATAAAATAATTTAAAGCGTATTTAACCTTTTCAACGGATCAATTGCAATTTACATTATTGTAGTATTATTTAGCCAGTATAGAGTGCAGCGACGGATACCTAATTTAATAATAATTCCACGGTAATTAGTGAAATTCCAAAATTGCCCTTGCTTTTGCGCTCATAAAAGACGGTCATTTCTTTACTTCACTTTGTGCACAGACACTCCCTGCGAAGAATAGAATAGAACAGAACTCGTCCCCCTCTTTTGGGCGCTCTACCGTTGCTTGGATTTCTCTTCGGAGCTGAATTGTGGTGTTAATGGAGTATTTTGCCGCGGAATTAACGGCGGGAGACAATGGAGCTTTCAATAGTTCGAGCAGTAATAACTGCGTGCATTTTGCGGTGGACGATTTGCTGGATTTTTCCAAGGAGGATGAAACAATGACCGACGCTTTTTTTGATAGCTTAGGGGGGAATTCCGTTGAGTCGTCGACTGTCACGGCGGTTGATAGCTGCAATTCGTCGGTCTCAGGCGGCGGAGACGCTCAGTTCAACGGAAACGCTAGCTCACGCAGCTTTAACGAATCGCAGTTCTCCGGCAATGAGCTCTGCGTTCCGGTAATTTTGTTCGTTTCTGTTTTGTGTTGTTTTTTTTTTAAATTTTGATTTTGTTGTTTCTGTAATTTTGTGCTTGGAATTCCTCGAGAATCGTGCGTTTCTGTCTCTGTTTGCGTGATTTTCATTTTCTCGGAAAAAAAAAAAATTCACCGACAGTTGAGGTTGGAGAAGAATTTTTTTCTGTAAATGTGAATACTAATTTTAACGGTGGATTTTGGAATTTACGCAATCATCAAATTTCATAATCAGCTGAGATTGATGAAATTTGTTTCGTGTTTTACAGTATGATGATTTGGCGGAGCTCGAGTGGCTTTCGAATTTCGTGGAGGAATCGTTCTCAACCGACGACCTCCACTTCATCCCAACCACAGCCGCCGCGAAAATCGCCACCGTAGACACCTCTTCCTCCGCCACTACCACCACCACCGCCTCACCGCCTCCAGTTTTCCCCTCCGACGTCTCCGTCCCCGGCAAAGCTCGCAGCAAACGCTCACGCGCCGCTCCCTGCGACTGGTCCTCCCGCCTCCTCCACCTCTCCCCCTCCGCCTCCGCCAAAGCGGCGGCGCAGAAGAAGCCGCGCGAGCCGGCGGAGACTCCCGGGCGGAAATGCCTCCACTGCGCGTCGGAAAAGACGCCGCAGTGGAGAACAGGCCCAATGGGCCCCAAAACCCTGTGCAACGCATGTGGGGTCCGCTACAAATCGGGTCGACTGGTACCCGAATACCGACCCGCGGCCAGCCCCACTTTCATTTCCGCAAAGCACTCCAATTCGCACCGCAAAGTCCTGGAGCTCCGGAGACAGAAGGAGCTCCACAGACACCAGCACCTAATCAATCAGGCCCCAATTTTCAACGGCTGCGATGAGTTCCTCATCCATCATCATCATCATCATCAACATCGAAGTAACATCAACGGCCCAGATTTAAGGCACATGATCTAGCATCTGTACTAGCCTCCTCTAATTTCTCATAACCCCCCAATTTTTCTTCTAATTCCCAATCCAATCGTTTAGACATATATTTCAATTTTATTTTATTTTATTTTCATGGTCATTTTTCCCAAGTTAAATATAGAATTAATTGTCACAACTCAGCTCAGTTGTACTCTCTTCGTTCTCTAAGTTCCAATTTAAAGTTATTTCCCTCATATCAGTAGAGTACAAATTAAAGTAATCGGGCCGGGCCGGGCATAGGGAGAAGAGTGTATTTTTCTTGAGAATTGGGGAATATGCACATGCACATGCACATGGAGGGGCTCATCCTTCGTATGGTCCTCCCTGCCCTGCACACTAGTCATCAATTTTTTATTTTTTATTTTTAATTAACAATATATATATATTTAAATTAATTAACTATGTTGAATATTTAATACTGTGCACTTCAATGTACTTTATAGGTAGATTATTAGATTGTGTTTGTTTTACGTCATTTTTAGATAACTATAGCTATGCACATTTTTTAATAAAATTATATTTTTTTTAAAAAAAAAAAACAAAATGTCATACTATTAAATTACTATCTTACAAACTCAAATTATTTACACAAGTCATTAGTTTATAACCATTATTTTCATTGTTTGTTATATTTCTATCATCTATCATTAATTCTTGAATGGTTTCACATTTTTACAGTATGTATAAAATAAAGATTTTTGAGAGCTCGGTTGATTGCCTTATCCTATATATATATATATATATGTTTTAGTGTTTTGAAATAGTAAAAAAAATAAATTAATTTTAATAATTATTTGATAAGATATAAATATATTTGATATTATAATTAAAATAAAAAGCTATTTTTTTATGAAATACTACTGTTATAAAAATAATACTCATTTTATACAATGAAAATGAACATATTTTGAAAGTATATTGTAAATAAATAGTAGAAACAAATAGGAAAAAACACAAGCAAAGAAATCCGTATATTATATATATATATATACTTTTGAATATTTTATATGTGATTCAATATAACATAAAGCTTAATAGTATATAATTCTATTATTGAATTATTATTATTATTATTATTATTATTATTATTATTATTATTATTATTATTATTATTATTATTATTGAATAAAAAATAATTGCTTTGTGTGGCGGTAAAGGAGAATTGAAGATTTTTCTTTCACCCCATTAATTAATTAAAGCTTTTACTTTTGACCTTAGGTTGCTGTTATTTATTAAATACATTTGAGTTTCTGACTTAGTACTTACTTCGATAAAGGGCAGCTTCAAAACTCCAAAAGAAACCATTATATTGCATTGCATTGCATGCACTTTATCATATCTACACTGAACATTAATTAATTGAATATTTTTATTTTATATTTAATTATTATGATCAAAACATATTAATAATACATATCAAAACTTTACTTTTAATTTTATTACATTATCAATGTATAAAGTCACAGAATTGTTACAACTTTTGTGAATATAAAGTCACGGAGGTGTAATGGTATTATTTTGTAACTTATTGTCACAAAAATGTTACAATTATAAAATATTCACGAAATTTTGTTGTAACTTCTGTTGCTATATAAAGTCACGGAAATGTCATGGTATTATTCTATAACTTATTATCACAAAAATGTCACCACTTAAGAAAAAGTCACCAGCAAAATTCCATAGAAATGGTTCCGTATATTTTTCCGTGACTTTTTAGTAAAAAGTCACCAATTTGTATTAAAACCGTGATTTTTTTTAAAGCAACTATAGAATAATTTTCTGGTAATGTATAATGTGTATCACAATCTTCGACAAGAATATATATTTTTTTAAAAAAATTAATACTATTTATCAATAGTAATATCTTTTTTAAAAAAATAAATTAAATATTAATTTTATTTCCCAAAAATTAATAGAAAATTATAACTCAAAACATTCAAATTAAATACCTAAAATTTATTTTATATAGTACCAAAAACAAAAACAAAAAAAATCAAAATTTCATTAAAATATCAGGTTACTTTTAATTTAAATAAAATGATAAAGAGTTTGTTTACCTTGTTTTTATTTTTATGTTTTGATTCTTTGGTATTTGTTGAATTAATATTTTGTATGCAAAATTAGAGTATCTTATATATATATATATATAATTATACATTTTTATAATAAATGCTATATTTATAAAAAAAATAAATAAAAATTACAAAAATCTATGTAAATAAATCAAAAAATTGTGCAACCTATATGGCCAAATTTTAACTTTTTCCCCCAATGGCATAATTCAATGGGCCATTACAATTTTAAACAAATTCTTTGCTTCATTCACACTTAATTGTTACTTTGACATTTTTTAATAATTATATTTCTTTCAAAAAGACTCCACCTATACATTATTTTTAGAAGTTTTGATACTATTAATTAATTATCCATAATAATTTATTTAGATTATAAGAGTTAATGAAGAATTTTGAGAATACAAAAATATTCAGTATACTATACTCCCTCCGTTCACAAACTAATGTCCTATTTTTCTATTTGGGACGTCCAACAACTATTGTCCTATTTTTTTTTTTAAACACAAATTTTACATTTTTACCATTTCTTCATTTATTACTTTTAATCTTTACCGTACAATTAATGGCAAATTTGTCAATTCATAATAAAAAATAATCACCTAAAAAACCATGCAAATATACTTTAGAACGATAGAAATTGGACGGAGGGAGTATAATTTTTTTATAAAAAATAATTATATATCTTATATGATATTTCAAAAAATATATTATTGATCAAAAGTGTAAAAAAATTCAAATTTGTATATATAAAGGAAATGCAATTTCTCTTTAAAATATCATATTAAATTATATATATATATATATAAAATATCAAATCAAATATAATTTTTTTTTAATTTATTCAAATTCTGAAACTTTCAAAACCCATCTTAACAAAGACACAAATTAATAATGATAATAATACATGAATTTCAGGATCACATGATTTGATAAAATTATTGGAGTAAGTGATAATAGTAATGGCAGAAAGAACATCGTGTGATGTACGGAGTGTAGTAACATGGAAGTGCGCTTGCAATAATTTCTTTACAAATAAATATATTATTATTATTATTATTATTATTATTATTATTATTATTAATTTTGTAATTAAATAAAAATTAATTATTTAATTATAACATGGGATTAACAAAATAAACAAAGTTTGAGGTGTGGAGTAGAGTTGGGGATATGAAACTGTCTGCCCAACGCTTGACATTTTGGGCCCCACCATGTCTTCGTCAACGGTCAACATTTCCATTATCTTTATTTTATTTTATTTTAATATTTTATAAATTTATTTTATATTTAAAATATCAAGTCAATATATATTTATATCGCATCAAATAATTATTTTAATTTAAAATTTTACTAATCAAAACTAAAATTTTTACAAATAAACACATCCGTTGTTTTTTCTTGTCTTTTTATAGGAAAAAAATACCAAAAAAATAAGGTAAACTTTCTACTTAAAAATGAAACAAAATATCTTTTTTTATAACAATTCAGAAAGTAAAGTAAATTAAAACTTAGACCACGGATGAAGTATTATTTTAAACTTTGGCATGTTTAAAATTTTTTTACAATTTTTCTCATTTATAAATTATTATTTTCATTTTAAATACTATTTCCTCAGTCCCATAAATATGTCTTATTTTGGTTGGATAAGGGATTTAAAAAATATTGATATTATATTGATAATTGGTAAAAAAATATGGATAAAAGACTTTTATGTCCTTCTAAGTGTATTAGTGTAAAATGTAGTGACAATTGTATAATAAAAATGAAAACGTATGTATAGTTTTATGGTGATATGATTTTTTTATGAAAATAAGACTAAACAAAAATGATAAACAAGACTATTGTATTGGGACGGAGGGAGTATAATTTATAAAATTATTTTAAATAAAATAAGAAATAAATGGTAAAATAATTTTATATTTCTCCAATATGCTAATAATGTTTCTATTTGTATATAGTTTAATTAAATTTCAAAATGATCTTAAATTAATTTACTTTTATAATGTGTATACATATATACTCCCTCTGTCCCGTTGGAAGGGTAGTGTTTGTTTTTTGCACGTAGATTTTTGAATATTAATATTATATTAAATTGTAGTAAAAAAGACAAAAATAACCCTATTAGTATGGTGTAATATAAAAGTAATGGCATTTGTGTAATATATTGTAAGTTGAAAGAGTATTTATGATGTTAAGTAAGTAGTACAATTACTAAATTAGAAAATGATAACCTTGTTTTAGGATAGACGAAAATGAAAAATGACAACCTTTCAATAGGACGGAGGCCGTATTTAAATTTAGGTGTGTTATTCTACAATTTATATCTTTTGTTTTTGTATTTAATAATAAAAGTAATTGTTAAGTTTAATATGTATGAAAAATAAGTATTTAATATAATAATAATTATTTTTTAAATGAATACTTCTTATAATATTAAGATATTTAATTAGTTAATATTAACACAAAGAATATACATATATATTTTGTCTGTATGCATCAAAGAGATGGACAACGTACTTGCAAGTACAATGTATTTTTCACATATATACGTACATGCATGTATACATACATTCTTGTTTTTATACCTATATTAATTCTCTCTCTCTCTCTCTCTCTTTATAAATATATACATATAGAGAGAGAAATAAATGTGAGTGTAAAGAGAGAGAAAGAGCATGTGGAGTGGGGAGTAGCAGCACATGGACATGGATGACTTAATTAGGATAATATATATATATATTTATAATTCAAAATTAAAAGAATATGTAATAATAATAATAATAATAATAATAATAATATAAACTTACTAATTATTCATATACGTTATTCCTTTGTCTCAAAAGTTTACTTGATTTATTTTGGTACGGTTTTTTTATAAATAAAAAAATAGGTAAATTTTTTTTTATATAACAATAAAAAAAAATAGACGTACATTTAGATAATAAAAAGGGAGAATTTAATTTGTATTATAAATTAATATGTTTTTAAAAATATATATGTAAACTAAAAAAATATAACTATAATTAAATTTTAAATTAAAAATATTAAAAATGGAATAAATAAATGCATATGGGAGATTGGCAGGCAGCAACAGTGTTTGCAGAGTGTTTATGTCCAAAAATGTGTTGGGATCTTTCCACGTTATTTGCTCATTATCGCACTTCTGAAATAATATCCTATATTCTTGTCCCCATCTCTACCCTTAAAATCACATCAAGAATAGTAAAAATTATAATGTGTCTCTGCCACATACCTTCATTTTTGTTTGTCTTATATAATTTTTAAATTTTTTAAAAAATATAATTTTATACTTTAATCATATTCTATATTATATAATTTATAATTTTTTAATATTAATTAAACTATTTATTTATTTTAATTTTAATTTATAATTATTTTTATTATATATTACTTTCGTCGGTTCTAAAAGTCTCATTTATTTTTTTTATATTAATCTTTGAAAATTAATTATTGTATCAAAACGTAAGTACAAATTAAAAAAAAAATTATAAAAATACTTCAATTAGTGTTTTATAATACTAATGATATTTGTACAAAAAATTATACAAATATAAAAATATTTTTAAAGTTAATTAATTACAATGACGGAAAAGGTAAATGAGATCCTTAAAAATAGACGGAGAAAATATAATAATTATTTTACTAATACACTTTTTAATTAATTATTAATTATATTTTACCTAAATTTCTGTGTCTAAAGTAACCGGACACTTAATTAGAGGAAGTACTATCTTATGGACTTTCTTTATTATAAAAAACAAAAATATATATATATATATACTTACATTCAAATTTGTATCCAAAAATTTTAATATATTTTTAAGTGATATATACTTAAAAATATATGTTTGTATATTATATTGTTTTTGTTTTTTTTTTACTCTCATGTTATTTTCACTATTTTGTTTTCTTTCATTATCCATAAAAATGTATTCAGTTCCAGGTTATATGTCTAATTAGTATAATTAAAATTAAAAAATTTAAACTAAAAATTTTTAAATGAGATTAAAGTGTAATAATTTTTTTTAAAAATAAAGTAATATAAAATATGGAACAAATAAAAACGGCAATGTAAATATGTGTGTCCGAGGGAGTACTATTCTTTCTTAAGATCATTTAAAAAGAAAATAAAATCACATCAACCATTGGATGTGTTTGATTCGAGTTGTTTGTATGCTATGTTTATTTTTGGTATGATATTTTTAAGAAAAAATAAAAATCTATTTTTAGTAAAGAGTAAGAAAATTTAATAGTGAAATAATAATAATAATAATAATAATAATAATAATAATAATAATAATAATAAAAAGAGGAACCGAAACTGCGGGATAGATGGCTTCAAATGTGTTTGGTTGATGATTTTATTTGTTTTAATAGTAATTTAAATATAATATTTTATAAAAATAAATTATCTAGATTTTATAAAACTTTATGAAAAATGAAATAATAATATTTATGAAAATAAATATAACCAAAAATATTACTCACAATTCCCCGATGCGAACTTCCATTATTACTTTTGGCGTGTCTTTATCGTGGTTCAAGAACACGCACCAACATGGGTGTGTGTGTGTGTGTGGTAGAAGCACGTGGATGGAGTCATGCATGCAAGCTGGTTTGCTGACAATCATCCATGCCCCCTATCATTGCACTTGCTGGTTTTTGCCAAATATAAATATACTTATTATTTTGTTAAATAATTTTATTTTTAAATTATTATACTCTTTCCAGTCTTATTGGAAGATTGACATTTATTTTTTACACGTAAATTTTTTAATATTAATATTATATTGAATTATAGTAAAAAAGATAAAAATATCCCTATTAGTATGATATAATGTTAAAAGGGTCTTTATTATGTTAGGTATATAATACAATTACTAAATTATGAAATGATAACATTGTACGGATAAAAATATAAAATAGTAACATTTCAATTAGACATAAATACTTTTATTATAAAAGAAAATTTATATTTTTACTTATTTTTTAAAAATATGTACCTAGTCAACTAGACATAAATTTGATGGGTGGCATTAGTCAATCAAAAATATTTGTTTAGATTTTTTTATTTCTTTTCAATAAAATGGGTTTGTTTGGTTTATATTTAAATTTCGATAAAATATTTTATGAGATAAAATAAATTTTTCCCTTGTTAAATCAAATCTATGTATAATTTTCATTTTTGTTTGTTAAAAAAATATACTCCCCCCGTCCCATTGAAAAGTTACTATTTTTCATTTTCATCTGTTCCAAAATAAGGTTACCATTTCCTAATTTAGTAATTGTACCTTCCAACGGGACGAGGGAGTATGTAATTTCAATTTTTAACAAATAACTTATACTTTTTAATTTATCCCCTCCATCATACTTATTTACAAAAATATCATAATTACTTGCTCATTAAATTTATTAAAACAAAATTTTCACGCTACATAATAAAGTAATATTTTCTCCGTCCAATTAATAAGTTTATATTTATTTATTTTTTTGCTTTATTGTACTTAAAATTAAAAATATTCTTATAATTGTATAATTTTTAAAAGAAATATCATTATTTCCTTGTTATCAAACATTAATAAAAGTATTTTTAATTTTTTTTTATTTGTACTAAATTTTAATATAATAATAAATATTCAAATGTCAAACCTTCTAAATTGAGAGAGGAAGTATAATACTCTACCGTCCGCCCCGATTACATTTATTTTGCATTATTGTATTTAACATTAATTTTTTTTATTTTTTATTTTGTACAGTGAAGTATTTTTGTATTTTTCATTAATTTGTATTATGTATTGATATAATAATTAATATTTAAATATCAATACTTAAAAGGTAAATATGACATTTATATAAAATAATATTATATTCATTAAAATTTATGTTTAACCCAAATAAAGATATATATGATAGATTGAATAGTATTAAGCAAATTAATTAATTTGATAAAATTCAAAGAAACAAAAACATGCACACACGCCATAACTAGCATTAAACTGCCGTAAGTTCTGGCGAAGGTTACTTCGGTCACTACAGAGAATTTCAAATTCTCAAATTAGGGTTTATCCCTCGATACAACGCATTCTTCGTCTCTGTTTCTCCGATCCGATTCCCGGCGCACGCAGGTGGCTTGAAATCCTCTCCATTGCAGGAAGCTGCTAGCTCTTCCATGGAAATTACTGATTACACCACCAGGTACATGGTTTGGGCGAAGTATTAATTATTTTGTTTTGCATTATGTGCGATTTTCGATTGGAGATCTATGATAGCTTGTGGAGTCTGGAATTGGAATTTTTTTGCATTACATAAATTTCTTTGTCCAGATAGTTAAACTAATTAATGTTTGTGTTTAATTGTGTATATGGAAATTAAGGCTAACGTTTGATTGCTGCTGCTTGTTCGATTTAATTAAGTTTTGTATAAAGGTGTGAATCCTTGCGTGCACACCAGAGTCTTAGAAGAATTTCTTTGAGATGAAATGAGTCTAATTAAGGATTCGATGAATTCATCATCGTCTCCTTAACATGAGTATAGAGAGTAGACAGAGAGCTAAAGAACAGAGAGATTATTGATCAATCTTAAGTATTTGGTGATCGAATTCAGTTGAATCCATAGTGCAGATCATTGCTCTGCTTAAAGCATCTATGCTTGTGAAAATTTTGAAATTATAAGGTTGAAACTCCTAACACTTCACAACTATTTTACCTAAAAATTAAAATCAAAATAATTACAATACAAACTTTAGGTTATGTTTACTTTAAGTTTAGTTTTAGTATTATGTAAATATATATATATATATACGTGCTATGCACGGTACCATTAATGAAAAAAATTACTCCATATCATTTATTTTTAAATTCTTTAATAAATTTAAGAATCATAATATTTTATAATAAAATAGTAATAATAAAATAAATAACAATGAAATAGTTTTTTAAAGAAAAATAATATTATTTAAAATAAATTTAAAAAATTCAAATTAATATCAAATAATAAAAAGTATGATTTGCTTTATATATTTGGAATAAAATATATAATATAAATTAAGTTGTGTAAAAACAAAATTATACTTACTAAATATAATTATATATAATATCATGATTGTAAATGAATATAAAATATATCATTGAATATTATAACATTGGTAATTACTAAAAAAATATTATATATTTTTTTTATTATAACGTGAGAACTGTATTTTTTTTTTGTTGTTGTGATGATATTAGTGTTTCTAAAATAAAAATTAATATGCTATATAATTTTAAAAATAAAATATGTATTTAAATAGTTTAAATACTACTGTTTTTTCCAATAAAATATATAATATGAATTAAATTTGGTAGAAAATAAAATTTTATATTTTAATATAATAAAAATGAAAGAAATATTTAAACTATCAATTTATAATATGTAAAAAAAACTGGATAATCTATTGTAATATAAAAAATTTATATATATAATTATTCATATACATAATAACAATTTTTTCGTTTACAATTTAATAGTAAAGTCGATCTTCCAATAATATAAAAATTTAAGTACCGTTAACAAAGAAAAAAAGAAAAAATAATAAAAATAAAAATACAACTTTTCTTTCTTCTTTTCTCTTTTCTTTCTACTTTTGTGTTTTTCTTCTTCTCGGTATTTTTGCTTTCAATTTGACAATTTTGACGACGATGATAATGGATTATTCTTGTCGAATAATTTTTAGCATCCAAACAGAATATTGACTACAATGCCTATCTATCACAAAAAAAAAAAAAAAAAGTAGCAACAAATCATTCGGCAAACAGTTTTGATATTTAGACAGTCTTTTCGATCCCTTTTTATCTGCTCTCTTTTTTTTACCATGATGATCCTGTAAATAAATCAGAGAAGACAATATTAGATGTAGTGTGTAAGTGCATCGATGACGAAAAAAATCAATTTGGAAAATAAGAAAGAAAAATCTAAAAAGTATTCAATTGAAATTGACTGATATCTTCTCATACTGCAATAAATATACATTTTGAAAGAAAATATTAGACAATATAAATAAGTCAACAATAGAAATAAGAGCAACCGAACTGTCCAGCAAACAACTTCCAATATTTAGAAGACATATGTTAAAGACAGCATTTTGGGATCCTAACTTTATGGCTGAGCTGAAAAAACAAAACAAAATAAATAATTTAGAAAAAACTAAAAATATCTAAAAGTTATAAAATATATATAAAAAATATTATCAATTAGAAGAATAACAAAACAACTCAATATTATCACTAAAAAAAATTATCAAAAAAATAACAACATCAATGATAATAAAGCCGCGTTACCCTTCCCTCGTATGTTTTCTCTTCTTTCTTCTGGCAGCAACAGATGAATGGTGCTTAACGAATTGTATATCTATATATAGAAAAAAAAAATAGTTTTTCTCCACTAACATTGAAACAACCGTCTCACTATTTCAAAATTGTCATTTACATCTTCTATCATTTATTTTGATAATTAAAAAAAAACAATAAATTCTAAATCTAAGAATAAAAATTAAAAGGTCCAATTTTGATCTCTTTTATATATATATACATGATATATGATATGTTCTTACAAGCAATTATTCAAATCAAACCTAAAACCATACCTCAAGTATAAAAAGTTAATGCTCCAAAACCCAAAACAGTGGTTCTTCCAAAACAACAATTTAAATATGATTTTTGGGAAGTTCTGAAATTTAAAAAATTTTGAAATATAATAAAAGATTGAGAGTCTTTGATTAAATATTTTATGAGAAAATAAATATTTATTCTGATTTTTCAAAAAATAAAATATATAATATAAAATACCACGGATAAGTAATGTTAAGAGTAATTTTTATAAGAACCTATGTGAAATGAGATCACATTTATTAATTAGGGCGTAGGTTTCACAGTCAACTAAAGAAGATCACTGTTACACTAATCTGTGTGAATGTTTTGTATGAAGAAATTATGTACCTAGAAATTGGCAGCATCCTTTCTTTATTATTATTATTATTATTATTATTATTATTATTATTTCAACTCATTTATTTACACTAATCTGGGGGGTGCCATTAATTAATTACCTCCAATGTAATGTAATGAATTGCATGATTGTTGCATAGAATTGGGGGTGGGGATCCTCAGCATCACTCCTCCATGCTCCACTCTTAGCATCCCCAGGTTGTTTGATGATGCTGAGGGTGGGGCATGGAGGAGTGATGCTGAGGATCCCCAGGTTGTGTGATGATGCTAAGAGTGGGACATGGAGGAGTGATACTGAGGATCCCCAGTGTGGAGAATGGAGAAGATGATGCTGAGGATCCCCTCCCATAGGATATGAATCAAATTGATAATTTTCCCTACAGAACTGTTCATCATTTAAGAGCATATACACTGGATTGATATTCGACGGCTTCTCTTCTCTTCTCTTCGGATATAGAGGCAATGTTAAAATAAAAATTTAATATACAACATATATAGCATGTTTTAATGGCGAGATCTTTTTAAAGGTACGGTAGGCTGTGTTTAGAGAGAGAATATTATATATTAGTTTGAACATGCACCATTTTATACTATTCATTCGTAATTCCTTTCTTCGTCTTCTTTAAAATTATCAAATTAAATATTTATTATTTTCAAACTTCAATCCTCATCCAAACTGATATTTAAATTTCATTCATGTGTTGGTTTCATGATGTATCAATGGTGTAGATTCAGTTTTTATTTGTATGAGTTATAATATATGACTAAATTTTGTTCTAGGGTTTTTTTAGGGGATTGAAATTCACCCTTGTATCATACTTCATTCATTCATTACTTCGAACAAGCTCTATTGTTTTATCTTTCTTTATTAATTTTAAACAGAACCCTTCGGATAATCAGCGTGTTTGTATTCATACTAAATTTTTAGGATGAAACTGACAAGAAAAAAAAAAAAAAAATTAAATTCATTTTCTTTGTCATGAATTCTTGTTGGGGCATTTTGTAATTTAAATTCAGAGTAAAAATTATTTTTGATTTTCCAACTCAAATATAAAATCCAGACATATAAAACCTAAGAAAAGTCGAAATTCTATCAAATTTAAAATGAGGTGAAGTGATTGGAAGTGAGCATTAAATTTCATGTTTTTTTTGGACGTTACGATATAGGGAATTTGCAATGCCCAATTGAGTTGCATTGAAATAACAAGCCAACTGCATCAATTTTCATCGATCAGATCTCCACCGTCCAATTAGTCACGAGAGCTTTCCGTGGCAGTCAGCCAGCCCTTTGACCACTCTCAGATTGCGCCACGTGTCCCTCTCCTCCGTGCTTATAAACCCCTGCTTCCTTCCTTCAGTCTGTTGTATAGAGAGTTAGAAGCGATTGTGCGAAACGAAATTTTGAAAATGACGAATGCGCCGGAGGTGACGATCCAGCTGCCGGAGGCGAAGACGGCGGCGGCGGAGAGTGGTCCTCTGGTTTCGGAGGCGAGTCGGAGGAGCGGTGACCGGCGAAAGGCGGACGTCACGAACACCGTCGTACGGATTCTCTGTTTTATAACCAGCGTCACGGCGCTGTCGGTGATGACCACGGCGAAGCAAGCTTCCACCATTTCTCTGTACGGATTCAGCATGCCTATCTACTCCAAGTGGTCGTTTTCGGATTCGTTCGAGTGAGTACGGATTTTGATTTTGATTTCGAATTGACGGTTTTCGATTCGTTTTCTTAAGTAATTGATTTAAATTCCAAAGCGCTGCGCCGATTTGATCTTTAATTCGCGTTCGATTCGTTTCGACTTGTTCGTTTTGGTTTCAATGATGAATTGATTTTGCTGCTGTTGGTACTGCTTTTTTTGTTTATTCAGAGCTTCATTTACCTTCAGAAACACACACACATACGTGCGTGTGTGTGTGTGTGATTTTCAATGGAAACGAAGGAGCGAATAAAACAAGCACCCGTGAACAAATTTCCTTTGTTGTTTTGACATGCTTATGGTGCATTGGTTTCACGCAATATGCATTTCCATTTTCATGTCATTGTCGTTTTCACTTCCATTGTTGTTACTGATTGAACATTCACAGGCACTTTGTTAGGGAGCACCACATCCTTAGAGACTAATTCAGGTTATACATATTTTTTTATATGAATGTGTACAATAGGTATCTTGTAGGAGTTTCTGCAGCAGTTGCAGTCCATTCCATGCTTCAACTGCTAATCAATTTGCTGAGGATCCATCGGGGATATCCGGTGATTCCGTCCAGGAACCACGCCTGGCTGATATTCGGCGGAGATCAGGTAAAGAAAAGAGGTGCTTGGGAGAACATGTAGTGCATTTGTTAGCTAACACATTAGGATAATTTGAATCTTAACACACTTTTTACATGAAAGACTACATAACACGTGGTTAACGAGATTCATATATAACGTAAATTTACTTTGCACATGAGGGTATGTGTTCAAAAGACTACGTAATATATGTAATTAATAATGCATATCTCTACTTAGGGATGGCTATTTGGCCCAGCCCGACCCAATTCCTAACTGAATTGAACTCACAATCAAATATATATCATACGAGAATATTATTTTTGTAATGAGGTTTTTTCGTCCTTAAATTCACTTTTTTCCGTTAGTAATGACATTAGAGACGGAATTAGGGATGATATTACGTTAGCTACGTAAACTTTAGGACGGAATTCTGTTACAAATATACTATTTTTATCGGTGGCTGTATTTATTCTTTATTTTAAAAATGAATATATATATATATATAAATTTATTAAAGTTTAAATAATAATTTAAAGAATGGGCCCGCCCGACTTGCATGAGCTCGGGTATGGCCCGAAAAAATTTTGACCTATTTTTGGAAGTCAAAGCATGATTTTTTTGTGGTGTGCTCAGACTGAATTTTTAAGCCGTACTTATTTTTGTCACTCTTATCTTTACTAACTTAAACTTTTAGGTGAAATAGTTATTAACATTTTATAATGTATATCCATTCATTGCGAAAAGTATAATGTGACATTGTTGTCACAGATATTTGCATACAGTATGATGAGCGCAGGATCGGCTGCATCGGGTGTGACGAACCTGAACAGGACGGGGATCCATCACTCGGCGCTGCCCAACTTCTGCAAGCCGCTGCAACTGTTCTGCGACCGGGTCGCGGTGTCGATCTCGTTTGCGTTCTTGACCTGCTTCTTGTTGGCTGTATCTGTGGTTCTTGATGTTGTTTGGCTCTCTAAATATTAATTCTAAGTGTAGTGTAGTGTTAGAGTTCATGTGATGTCTAAAAGAAACATTTATTATCTATCATATCCTCATTTCTTCTTAGTTATTATTATTGATCTCATCAATGGATGGGATGCTCATTTAATTTACTTTCATACACACCACAATTATATAAGCCTATGTTGGATGTCAATTCCATCACACGTAAACAGGATGCTTATATTTTATTTTTTTTTGCCAAAACTAAACATGTCTATAATATATTTGAAATTCTCTACAAATTATATATATATATATATCTGTATATATCTTTATAATATTAAATTTCATTTTCTTATAAAATAATATTGATATTAAAATGAATAAATTTTAAGATACTTTAACAAATTTTTTAGATTTATTTTAAATCAAATACACCTCAATGCTTAAACAAATACTGTCTCGTGTATCATTCTAAATTTTGTTTTTCTTATCTCCAAATCTCAGGGTTTTACTATTTGTACACTGCATTTTTGCAAAAAAATATTTTTTTTATCTTATAAAATATCTCATCGTACATTATTTTAATGTCAAACTGAAACTAAAATTTTCTCAAACTCGTTAGGAAAAACATACCCTAAAAATACTACTTTAGTCTTCCTTGTAATGATAAACCCATTTAGAATGTAATAAAAACATTCTAATTGTCTTTAGGCGTTTGAAGTTTGAACTCAGTCACAACTCCTCCATCACATCATCCCTTACGAACTTATTTTAAAATATCTTTAGTAGTACATAGTCATTTTCAAATAGTTATATTTTATATTTCTTTTTCTTCCATTATTGTATTTTTAAAGTCTCATTAATGTGATGACAAAGAAAAATCAAAGTATTAGTCTAATCTTGGGTCCTTATATTTTTATCTTTGATGATGGTAGGGTAGCAATGTATATTTTAAAATTATGAGTTCATGCCATATAATTTTTATAATTATTATTTTATAACATGGGAATCCGTCTTATCTAAAAGTGCATATTAGATAAACCTGCGGCCGAACTTAATATCCTGCAAATTAGACTCGGCAAGACAAGTTAGGCGAGTGGGACAACCTCCTATTAAATTTATATCCTCATTTCGTTTCCATTAGGCCCAAACTCTTTGTCTACATTAATTTAAGCCCATTAGACTACCAAGTAAAATTTGAGATAGGACTAATAGTAGTAATAATAATGACAAATAGAAATTATGATCAAATGAGTAATTTTAAGAGCTAAATTTTGAACTCTATGTTTTTTTTGGGTTGCCAATTCAAATGTTATTATTCATTAATTTTACTTTTTCAAAAATATTAAATTATTTTTTTTATATACAATAAAAAATAATTTTATATTTAAAATATTACATCAAAATTGACATTTATATTATGTCAAATTATATTTTAATTTAAAATTTATCATTTAAAACTCAAAATCTAATTAATATCTCACAAACAAACATACCGTAAATGAACAAGGACCACTTGGCTGCGTGAAGTCATAGGTTTATAATATTTCGATATCACTTGATATTGTCTGTCGAACGTAATTCGTCTAATATAACTTATCTTGCTACATAGTTTTCAAATTATAAAACTCAATTAAAAATTTATTCAGAGTATAATCGAAAAATAATTGTGGTGAATTCTTACGTGATAAAAAGCCGGGACCACTATTGAGATTTTTATTTTTATTTATTTATTTTTATTCTTTTTGGGATGTGTGTGTCACTTTCATTGTATGCCACATTATATCCAACATTGCCCTATTAGATGCTAAGTATCCTTCTCGATGTTTAGCGTGATTACAACAATTGTCTTCCACTACAAAAAAAATAATATATTTGTAACAAAATTTCGTCCCTAATGTTCACGTAGCTAACGTAATTTCATTCCTAATTCCGTTTCTAATGTCATTAGTAACGGAAAAAGTAGATTTATAAACAAAAAAGTTTTGTTACAAAAATAATTTTTTCTTGTAGTGTTCCTTTCAAAAATTTTCTTTAAAAAAGTAAAAATGAAAACATACACAAAACTATTTAGAAATAAATATGTTTACTTGCTTGTTTCAAATTTACTAATTATTTATATAATAGAATAATTATTTTCACTAATACATTTTTAATTATTTACTAATAATATTTATTACAAATTCTTGTATCTATCATAATTCTGACACAATAAGTAGAACGAAGAGAGTAATATCTTGTGAGAGAATATATATTATATACATTGGAAATCATATCAATAAAAAAAAAATATAAATTGTGTGAACAAAACCACACTAAGTAAAAAGTAAAATAGAAGTCTTATTGTATTTATTACCGAGTTGGTAAAAAGGAAGTGGTAATACATGTTTAAAAAGAAGTTTCACAATATTATTAGTATTAAAATAAAAGTAATAAAATTACGAAAGAACAATTTTTTTATTATAAATAGATTATGCAACCAAGTCAACAATAAAAAACAAATGGAATAAGCATTATTTTTCGTAAAAAAAATAAAAAAAATCACGTTCAAACTATTATTGAAACTAAAAACTAAAATCAAACTTCAAATTAATACATCCAATTTATTTTTACTATAACATTTGGACGATATTATATATATATATATAACTACATGACATGGACACATTTTTTGGCATATATTAATAATTACATAAGAGATTAATTAAAGTGAAACTGTTACGTACGAAATTTAGAATTAGGTTAAAAGCCCAAGGTAAAAAAGAAGAATGGGCCTGGCAATAGGGTTGATTGAACTGGCTGAAGGACACCGTGAGGAAATCAAGGAAAATAAATTTATTTATTTATTTCTAAGGAAAATACAGGACGGAAGGTTCTCAGGTCGGTAGGTCCTCAGGACGGAAGGACTTCAGGTCGGTAGGTCCTCAGGACGGAAAGACCTCAGGTCGGAAGGTCTTCAGGTCAGTAGGTCCTTAAGACGGAAAGTCATTAGGACGGAAGGACCTCAGGTCGGTAGGTCCTCAAGACGGAAGGACCTCAGGTCGGAAGGTCTTCAGGTCGGTAGGTCTTCAAGACGGAAAGTCATTAGGACGGACGGACCTCAGGTCGGTAGGTCCTCAAGACGGAAGGACCTCAAGTCGGAAGGTTTTCAGGTCGGGAAGTCCTCAAGACGGAAAGACCTCAAGTCGGAAGGTTTTCAGGTCGGGAGGTCCTCAAGACGGAAAGACCTCAAGTCGGAAGGTTTTCAGGTCGGGAAGTCCTCAAGGCGGAAAGACCTCAAGTCGGAAGGTTTTCAGGTCGGGAAGTCCTCAAGGCGGAAAGACCTCAAGCCAGATGGTTCGCAAGTCGGGAGGATTGGCGGTCGGACCCATACTATTGTAGATTGGCAGTCGGGCCAAAAGAGCGGAAGGTCTGTGGTCGGCTCAAGGAGTGAAATATAGGGAATTTTTGGTCTGCTGGGGACACGTGTCAGCATAAGAAAGGTTGGAAGACGGTTGAGAAGGAGACGTTGTAACCGTTCGGGTGACGGTTTTCAGTACGGTTTCCCAGGGAATATTTAAGGATTTGGATCATCATTTGGCAAGGGATCTTCAATCAACTTCAACAAAGCAAAGTCAGATTTGGGGATCACCACTTTAAATTTCAGTCTTTTATTTTCCAGTTTATTTTCTGTACCATACAGTGTTTAGAGATTCCTAATCTCAGGCACTAATTAATCAAGTTTAAGGATATTTTCTATATCTTTGAATTTTACTTTATTTTTGTTGAAAAATTACATCAACAAATTGGCGACCACAGTGGGAGCAAGACAAAATTGCTCATTCCAATTCCGGCGATAATTTCATACGTCTTAGATCCGGCCGAATCATCGGAAGGGTCCATATGGCAGGGTCACAACCGCAAGCATCTTCGACACCGGTGGGAGAATCCGTTCCACCACCCATTGTGCCAAATGCCGGGGACATCCCACAACCACCAACTGATTGGTGGTCTTATGTTCAACAAATGAACAACCAGCATACCTTGGTTATGCAGAATATGTTGCGTGAGCAACAAACGAACATGTTGCGTGAGCAACAGAGTCAGTTGCAGAACATGATAGATCAAGCATTGTCAAGGGTTAGTCTTCAACCCACTCAAACGCCACCAGGAGTGTCACCGTCCAGACCACAGGCAAATTTCGCAGGGCCATCATTCGTGGATAGTACATTCCCAAGTGCCACAAATCCCAACCGAATGGATCGGGGAAAAACTCCTTTGACTTTTCCCAACAATGTTCCACTGGGACCAAGGGTTACCAATTCGCAGCCGAACAATACAAGGGAGGACAGGCCTGAAGGATATATACATGATCCGATTCATATTCCTGTGCAGGATCCGTTCCAGGTTCCTGATCATCAACGCTTTCATGTAGATCCTGATGAGATTGCACATATATTAAGGGATCAGTATGGATTAACTCCTCAGATGGCTAACCGCCCTGCATATCAAAGACCTTTCCCAGAAAGGATCATTCATGAACACCCTCTCCCAAGGAATTTTCGACCACCCGACTTTCATGCATTCTCAGGGGAGGACGGATCTTCCACCATAGAACATGTTGGTCGGTTCACAGCACAATTAGGAGAGGTTGGCAATAACCCTTTTTATAAGTTACAGCTGTTTGGTTTGTCTCTTACCAGAACGGCGTTTTCATGGTTTGTAAGTCTACCTCCTGGACAAATTCAGACATGGGAAGGATTGGAAATGGCATTTCACGCTAGATTCTTTAATCCTTTACCAGTTGTTTCTTTAACTGATTTACTTGAATTGAGACAGTATCCAGAAGAAACTGCTTCACAGTTTATAGAAAGGGTACGATTGATGAAGGGACGATGTCCTACGGTAATCAGTGAGAAAGAGATGACCAATTTAGTGGTCCGGAATATGCATAATCGCTTAAGAAAGGCACTCACTGCCCTGGATGTTGAGGATTTGGCAAATCTTGCATCCAAGGCAGGACGTCTAGAGTCTTTGTTCAGAGAGGAAGAGCAGCATAACAGGCGTAATAGAGGCCAACATATGGCGAGTATGGGAACAGAAACATGCGACTTTGATTTTAATCAGTCAGAAGAGATGGCAGCCGAAATCCT